TTACTCCTCAATATTTATTTAAGGAATGTTAATCACAAGTGAGGAGACAGCAAATGTCCAGAAATGTGAATGTACAATGGTTATATCTGCCAGTTAAAACATCATTGTGTGCTTCTTTTGTTCCTTGTATGATTTTGTTCATTAGACCTAAACTTCAAAAATTAGGCCATCAGAGAATACGGACAATCCATTACTTATCTGGCTGGTTGGGTTAAGAGATGGGATTCATTGGTTTATGGGCACCATTTATGACGATATTTTTAAATTCAAGGTTATTACAATAAGTGATGATGTAGGTGAAGTGGACCACTGCCTCCTTTGGCTAAAAATCACATCAGTATGCAGCTATATGCATGCTGATTTGAAATCATCTTACATTCATTAGTTAAACAAATATATATTTGTATTTTACTTATATTTTCAACTTCCTGGTTCTCTTTGGCAAAAGTGATGTAATGTGCCCAGGTGTTGCATCCCGGGAGGGTTGCATTAGCAGAGCATTGCTAGGAAATCTCATCTGTAATCTCATGAGATCTCAGGGAAAGGCATTTTCCTTCCTTGAGATGATGAGCATGGTCACATGTCATGCCAGTCACCCCTTATTTTCTGCTATTGAGCAGTGCCATCTGTTTGTCACTGCTGCATCCACCTAGTCTAAAGGGACATACCAGTCAGGAGTGTGATGGGACTTTGGCCATTCATCTGAAGGCATTCCATACACAGTTGCTGTACGGAACACCCCCAGAAATTTCCTGCTTCTGTAAAATGGCTGATTGATTTTCCCAGAAGTCTGCAATTACAATTTTTGGCATCCCTTGCAATAGGAATTTCATTTTTGGTGATATACTCCGTAAGGGCCTATTCACATGAGTTTCAGGTCCCGATCCGGTGTGGATCAGCAGACGCGGTGCTATGTGTTTTGCCGCATTTTTGCTGCGTTTTAGCTGCGTTTTTGATGCGTTCCAGTAAAAAACATTTTTTGCTGGAGTGGGGCTGTCAGTATGTTAGCTGCAGTGCAGTGCGTTTTTGACGCGTTTTGCGTTTCCTGACCGTACAAAATGTGACATGCAGTATTTTTCTGTCGTAACCTGAACGGACTGCGCACGTGAGAACTGTAGCCCATAAAACACATATGGATACATTGGGATGCATATTTAGTGCAGGAGCGTACGGATCAGGTCAGCACAGAAAACGGACGTCGTGTGAAATGGCCCTAAGAGGTAATTACTACTAAAGGGATGCCAACACTGCACCTCTCCCTATTACAGCACAGGAAGCCCACCAGCTGATTATAATGAACTCAGACCCTCCCATACAGGGATCAGTTTGGAAAGGAGACAAACTGCAACAAAGTTTGTTAAAATTCTTGCAACGTACACAGATCACCCAGAGAAGATTGATTTCTCAACAAAAGTGGAATTACTCCCACTCCCAAAAGTGGAATTACTCAAAAACCCATAGGTGAATGTGTATATCAAACATGAAATGTTTAGTACATCCATGTTGATGCATACAATTGCCATTTAGAAGGCTCAGTTCACAAAGAGTTAAGGTTGAACTCCAGGCTTACTTTGTTTTGCATAATTGTACAGATTCTTCTCCTGTACTGAAATTGCTTAGTCTGATATTAGGGCACTTCTCACGGTGTGCATTAGAAGTTAGAGCATGTCAGATAGTAATTTCCTGTCTGGGAGACATCCAGCATCATCTGAATATTTCACCCCTCACCTTACTCTTACTGGCCTGCTACTCTAATTTATTACATTTCAGTTCTTTCAGTAATGGAGGCTCAGCATTGCATGTGGGCACTACCTAGGGTGCTCTGCATGCCAGAAATGCCCACTCCTCCAGTCAGAGCATATAGATATTTACATACCTCCTTTCGAAGAGGCAGCCTACTGCTTGCATCAGGGCTTAGGGCTCTTGAGAGAGGAGTACTGAGGCAGGATGCTGTGATGTTTTAGGAAGCTATGTACAGCAACCGCCCAGCATCTCCCAGCTGCTGGCCTCAGCTCTCATCTCCCTACATTGCATAGAATAGCACAGAAACCCAGTAATAATGTTAGAGGTGCACCGAAATAAAAATTTCAAAACCGAAATAAAAAAAGACAGACCGCAACCGAAAATGTTTTTTATTTTAACTCTTTCAAAAAGTTTTACATATTTGTTTTACATTTTTTTAAATAAACTTTTTAATGTTTTTATATTTATTTTTATTTATTTATCCATTTTTTATTAAACAGTTTTATTCTTTACTTTTAGAGGCTTTGGGTAAATTTTAGGTGTCTAAGCAGACCCCTGATATTTCCCTTTTAAAATAGAAACACAGAGTCCTCAATCTCTTTTTCTGTGTCCCCTGTTATCAATTAACAGGAATCCTTTATACATAGTGTTCCTGTTCATTCATAACATGAGGACATAGTGTGTTTACTATATCTACAATCATGAATGAACAGGAGGTGATGTAGATCACTTCCCATTCATTCATAATTGGGGACACGGTAAACATATTATGTCCTCAATTATATACAAACACTCAGCGATCACTGATCACTGAGTGTTTGTAATCGCTCCCCTTCCTGACACGCTGTCATAGGAAGCTGAGTGAGCGGAGCTCACCCTCCTGTGACAGCGCTGGCTGTTTCCGCCCACACACCACTCTGCCGATCTGTGACAGGAGGCTGAGCGGTGCGGGGAGGAGAGACGCCGGCGGCTCACAGCACTCTCCTCACACAGCGCTCGGCCGCCTGTGACAGTTTCTCTCCTCCCCGCTGGGAAACAGAGCAGCGCACATCGTGGAGGAGAGAAAGAACAGATGCACCGCTAAATCGGTTAGAAAATGGCACTTTTGGCAATAGGCCAAAAGTGCCATTTTCGGCCCATATGTTTCGGCGGCTGATATATCAGTGCATCCCTAAATGATGTCATTGGGTCTAAAATAAGGTATGTAATAAAAACAGAAATATTTTTTTTTTAAATGTAATCTGCATGTTGATGAAGGGGCAGGGAAGGAAAAATATAATCAGATTAAACTTTATCTGTAACACAAAATAGGAATATTTGCTTTCAGCTGTATAATTGTAATTTTCAAATCTCATTGGACTCTGTTGTAAACAATTGTTACTTTTTTTTAAATAAAGATAGTTTTTCTCATGTGTTAGCTTGTAAATTTTTCTAAAGCTCTGACAACTTCTGCATACATTTTTCCGTGCCCATCATACAGCCAAATCAGCACAGCTATGTAAAACTGCTAAATTAGACAACCCATATGTCATACCATCTAGTCTTCTTTCATTCTAACATTCCCATAATTGCTGCCGTGTGCATCACCATGGCAGCAACTGAAACAGACAGCGGGGAGATAACACGTTCCTCTGTAGTATTGACTTTCCTGCATTTTTTTTACTGATGCTTATAGGAGAATTATTTCTATGAAATTCCATAGGAAAATATCGAGAATGGTAAATGCTTCTAGTCAAGTCGGATGTAATTAAATGTCATTTATGATGGAATGATAATTTAATAATAATATTATTATTATTAATATATAGGTTTATTCAATAATAAACTGTGTGGGGTTTTATGTGTTTGGGATATTTTTGCATAAAAATGTCAATATGTTTTTGCATATCAGGACCATATATAACCACATAAAGCTACACAGTTGAGACTATTCGGGTGACCAAAAAAAAACAGCCATTTTTAGCACTGCTGAAAGTCATCATAATCACTCCATTCTACACATAGCACCCTATGGTGTTTTATAGGAATTATGTTTGAATCAGAAACACCCTCAAGACATCCTGTAGTACTAGGGAGATAACACCTTGATGGCTGTCCATCACTTAAGGATCAAAGGGCAGGCTGTGACCCTATGTTGACCTAGATCAAGGAGTTTGCCCACATCATGAGGGCACCATCTGCTGGAAGACTTTAGTAAGCACTGCCAAATCCTAGGGAAGATGCAGATTGGACCAAAGACTCATAAGGGGCGATGCCAGGGGTATCAAAGGGATATCAAAGTAGGTGTATGAGTGGATCTTTTGCATTAGAAAAGCAGTCTCTCTCTCTCTCTCTCTCTCTCTCTCTCTCTCTCTCTCTCTCTTCTTTTTCTTATCTCTCTCTCCTTATTAGTATTTGGCTTTCCTTTTTGTATAAATAAATAAAAACATTGTTTCTTTTATCATTGGTGTTATGTTTATTATTAGTATTAGTAGCAGAGCTGTAGCAGTCTAGATTCATTAAGGGGGTGGAGGGGGGGCAACATTAGAACTCATTTCAAACATCATCGGGCAGCATCCATTGCAAGTGATTTCATTAGCATTTGAAATAGCTTAAACCTTTGACTTTAAAGTGGACCTTTACCCCCATTGATTAAAAATCATATCAGCATACAGCTCCGCATGCTGATATGAAATCATCTTATATTTATAAGTTAAACAAACATTTTTTCATTTTACTTACAATTTCTTTTTCTCCACTTTGGCACAAATTATGTAGTAATGCCCAATTAGTGCATCCTGGGAAGGTTACATCAGCAGAGCATTGCTGTAGAATCTCTTCTGTAGTCACACAATATCTCAGGGAAAGGCATTTTCCTCCCCTGAGATGATGAGCATGGTCACATGTCCTAATCACATGTGCCAGAGTTCCAGGGAGTAAAGGGAGATGGATTAATCTGCCCTTGTTAAAATGGCCACTGTGAGAAGAACGGGGAGGAAAAGAAAAATAAGATATGCAAAGAATACAAAGCCTGCAATTATCTAGAAGTATCTGTTCGTAGATCGTCATTACTAAAAAATTCTAAAGGTACCTTTGTTGTTATTTTGAAGATATGGGTAAAGTTCCTCTTTAATATCACTTTAAGTTTGTGCAATACCACAATATACCAGAGCAGACAAGCCTAAATGGGCCCAGAAATCATTTTTGTAGGTTTTATACTATTCTTCAATCATTTCTGAAACTACCAAGATATCTTTTTCGTGTAACGATGCATTTACCTCATTCGGCATTTCATATGTCTCATCTGAATTTGCTGGCACATTGTCTGCATTTTCCTCATGTCCCAAGCCTTCTTCATTCTGAAATAAAAGTACATACATATGCCTTAGTGTTAGAGTGCATGCATATACAGTAGATATTGCTTAGTAGCAAGCCAACTCATTCAGGATGAAAGCCTATGTATGATCCATACATGAGTCTCAAAAACCTTTGATATTGTTTGTGGCAGTGCAGGAGTCAGGACTGTGTAATGTAAAACATCCCACATAAAGATTACAGCAGTCAATATCACATGACATACAACATAGCATATTTAGTACAGCAGTCAGTGAGATGTAAGGTTCAATCAACATAGCATAAAATGAAGGAGTCAGGAGTGTGCAGTACATAGCACAGCATACAAAGTGAAGTGGTCAGGAGTATGTAACTTGCATCAACGTGTAGAAAGCAGTGGTCAGGAGAATGTAACATAGTGCCACCTACATTTCAGGTTAGCGGCAGTAAAAAGTACCCAAAAAATAATTGATGCTGAGAGCAAGAAGATCTCTACCCCACAAGCAGTGGTGGTCGGTGGCAGTAAAAAATACCCCCGATTATTGGTTGTATGTGGCAATAAGATTCCACCCACAGTTATTGGTGGTCAGTGCCAATATGATTCCCTCCTGCCCCTAAATGTTCATAGTCATTAGTTGTAAAAAGATCTTCCAAAAACATTGAAAACTCATGATGCTGACAGTGACCACAAGTGACAGCAAAAAAAATCCAACTAGCATTGGTTATCAGTGGCAACCAACCAGTGCATTGGATTACAGTGGCCTGCAGGGATGTTCAGTGCTTCTGGCTGAAATCTTATGCCCACTTCACTATGTACTGCACACTCCTGACTCGTACATTTTATGCTATGTTGAATCTTCCTTTCTTTCTCTTGAGCCTTAGCACTAGACCCCCACAGACTCCATGGGGCCCAGTGCTAGGGTCTCCACATGAAACACATGCCAGCCAGGAGATAGGGCCATAGAAGTCCATGGGTTTCTAGTATGCATAAACACTGCTAGCAGAAAGAAGATTTCAGTCAGAGGAGTTCAAGATTTCTGTGAGCCATGATTATTTGATTCAGACAGATGTACATCAGGGGTGTGGGGGTTAGAATGGGGCAGGGGGCAACAGGATAAATATACTTTCTATGTGTCTGTGAAGGTTCTCATTCATCCAGGTCATGGTATATCTGTAAAAAAAAAGTCCAGTTGCCTTGACTTATTTTTTACAGATATACTTTCTATGTGGCACAATAATATAATTCTACAAAACATTTCCTTTGTCCTTTGAAACCTTTCTGTCAAGTTGGATTTGATAAACCAGAACATAAAAATTATTGTGTGCAGGCTTTTCAAGTATCTACTTTGAACAGTGGCACGTTTTGGTTTATCTCATTTGGGAAAACAAAGAATTACGGAATGCTTTGTTTGTCTGAATTATTGGAACTTAAACAGGCATTATGGTGCCAGTCATTTTTCACGCCTGTAGCAATTTCATGGATACATTATTAGTTTACCATTTTGGATACTTAACCAATAAAATTTGGAGAAAGATGCTTCATATAATGGCTTTGCAAAAAAATATCACAGCAATGTTCAAAAATAGAATTTGTAAACCTGTGATGAATTTTAGGATACAACACAGCAGTAGAATTTGCAAGATTATACATCAGTTCAATTCTATTTACAGCACAGATTTGCAGTGCAAAATACTGTGTTACTGTCAGAGCCAGATTTCCCTTGAAAATATAAATTATTCTGAATGGCTGTCACTTATTTTGGTCTGTTGGATTTGGTGCAGATACACACTGGAGGTCTTCAGCTGCCAATAAATATGTCTGAGCTTCTTGCATAAAGGAAGGTACCTACTTGCTTTCAGTTTATTTATTACTATACGCATTTCATATTAGGAGCTCTGTTAGACTAGAGTTAGGAACTACACTTTTGCAGAGGGGCTTTTGCAAAAGTATGCAAAAAAAACCCTGTTTTTAACACAATTTGTTGAAACAGTTTATACATTGTTTTTGTGGTGACTAGTTGGTAAAAGTGTTGGTGAAACCTTCTGTATTGTACTATCCTTTACGAGTACCTGAATTGACAAAAATGTGGAGACTATCTTCCCCTGAACAGTTTGTTCTCATGGCAAAATCTCAGTGTTGCCTGGACCTCAACGTTTATATTGTATGCTTTTGGTGCAGAGAGGCTTTGGGTTCAGAATGATTTGAGTATGCAGAAAATAGTTAATGTTATGGCTTACATTCCTATAGACACTTTAGGAGTTAAATGTTGGAGCTAGGGTTAAGGGGGGGTCATGAATGTTATTTGGCAAAAGTTATTTAAGGGGCAGGTTAATAGTTAAGTGTTTAATGTTGAGGGGGTAGGCCTTAATAACTTATTTTAGGGGTAAGGTGTTAAAGCAGACCTGCTATCAAAAATGTAAGGTCAGCTTTACAGTCAGTCCTTCATCCCCCAAACAAAAATAGCGTGGGGGGAAAAACCCTCAAAAAGGAAGTGCTTACAAAAAACAAGATTTAAAAAATTACATTGGTCCTGGCTTTCCGATGCTTGTTGAGTGATTTCACTGTGCTTCCCTGCTGCCTCCTGAGAAAGCTGGGCACATGGAGAATTTCCATGGAGAAGTTGTCAAATTTCTGTGCAGATAATATGCACTTATACTTCCTATTGCTCACTGCCCTAAATAATATTGCTCTACTTGAGTTGCCCTAAATAGTCAGATCCTTGCCTAGACACAGTACATGCTCCTTTCTAAAGCAGATCTACAGTGAATAATAGGGTAGGGATAGATGTCTAATGTTATTATGCTACTTTGATTAATGTTAATCTGATTCTGGTTTCTGTACTTACAATTAATCTTATAGAAAAGGGAAGCAATCAGTGACATATATTTTACAACTATTGAATTCATCATATTATATTTATTTAATTCATATTATTATATTTATAATAATTAATATTAGTTACATATGTGACATGGGGAAATGGAACTATTTTTAAATGTTATCTGTGTAATCTCTCCATCTCTATGAATAAGCTGTTTGGTAAGACATGTTAGAGTTGCAGAAGCTTGTTTTGACTTCGGGAATAAACATCGTGCAGTTTGTGATATCAGTCGTTTGTGTGGGCAATTGTTTCTGCGAGAACCAGTAACAAGCTGCAGCGTGCTTTTCTTGCCTGCACCGGCATGAGGGATGGGGCTGCATGGTCGCTGGACAAGGAATATGAGCGGTGGCTGCTTTGTGACTTTTAGTGAATTATTCGTTACAGGATTAAGGCAGAGAATATAGAAACCATAATATATTTCAATCTTCTTAAATGTATTACAACCCCCCTCCCAGGAGCTGCTGAATTTTATGGGTCCACCTAGCCTGTCTACTAGTTTTTTGGCCTCTAGCTGTACCCAAACACTCGACCCACCAGACAGATCACCACTTCTTCAAAGCTGTTTTTGTAGATTTTATTAGCTCAAACACCTATAGAAGGCTGGGGGCCAGGATAACACAAAAAAAAGCAGAAAAAGTACTCTCCACTGTATAGTATCTTCTCAGTGGATGCTCAGTATTTTTATCCCTTTGCCACAGGCTAATGCTCATTAGCTGATGAAATGCACACAATGCAGTATGACTTTTAAACTTGTTGTGTTAATCATCTATTACAAGTTGCCTCTGCTACTACATGCTTTTCAAGCTAATGCCACAACCCTGCTGATGTGAGGATAACTTTACAAATTGACTATTACTAACTATTGTCTTCAGACAATTATCTTCTGGTGTGAAGATAACCTTACAAACGGATTATTACTTTTTATTGACTTCAAACTAACAACGTGTGATGTGAGGAACATTACAACAGTTTTGTTACATACTGCTTCAATCCTGTCATGTGAACTGAACATTGGAATGATTTCAGCAGTGAGAGGCATTCAGTATGATTAATTTATTTTTCTTGTGATGTGATGCAAACATTACCATTGATACAACCTTAGTTAAAAGAGACTGTCATAATCTTAAAGTAAAAGTTCTGTTGAAGAAGACTTCCGCAGCTGAGTTCCATCATTCATCATAAGAGATATTACAGCTAAGACCAGCAATTTGTAGCTGTGGACTTAGGTTGAGATGGGCAATTGACTAAGCAGAACTATGTTTCAGCTTCCTTCCACAGACAGAATTGGAGATATACCCTCCCCGGGCAGCAGGCCTGAGTAGTAACGACATCTGAACTTACACCCATCTCGGGCAGCAGGCCTGGGAGGTCTAGACTGAACCCTATACACACACACACATCCTCACCAGGAAAAGCCTGGGAGGGAAGGACGCTTCTAGAAAGTCTCCTCTAATATTTATCTTCTTCGTCAGCTCACATCAGTGGCATACACCTCTCAGTGATTGGCCAGAATGCATATTCATACCGTACAACATTGTAATGCCTCATGCCATTTGCTGTGTCATGAGCAGGCAGAAGCAAACAATGTCCTGGGCTTAAGGAAAACCCATTGAACCCAATAATGTAAAAAATCAAAGCTCAGGTTGGCTTTAGCCTAGATACAACACCAAACTTAGACTTGTGACATTCCAGCTTTTGGCAGAGTCCCTACATATTAAATCAATCAATATTCATATTTACATATTTTTGTGGATGGATATTGCTTTTTTAGCACACTGATTTACCAAGCCATTGATGGGCAGCACAGTAGTGTAGTGGTTAGCCCAGGGAGCCCCTGGTTCAAATCCCAGCCAGGTCACTATCTGCAATGAGTTTGCATGTTTCATATATGTGCTTGCATGGGTTTGCCCAGGGTACTCCGGTTTCCTCTTCAAAGACATGCTGGTAGGTTAATTACCTTCTGTCTAAATTGGCCCTGTATGTATGAATGTGCGATAGGGATCTTAGATTGTAAGGCAGGGACTGATGTGAATGTGCACTGTGTAAACGTGCTGCATAAATTGTCGGCACTATATAAATATGAGCCACTAACATCAAAGACTGTACAGGAAGAAAAGAATATATGATCTCCTGTAAGGATAATT